TTTTCTAACAACCACAAGCGGTGAAGCCCATCTGCTTCCACCAGGAGGAACCCTTTGAAGCAACCCTTGCTGTATCATTCCATTAAGTTTATCTACCACTAGTGGTCTTATATGGATAGGAAGAGGTCGAGCTTCAAAATAAGTTGGTTGTACGCCGTTTTTTAACAGAATATTTGCTTTGTAATTAATTAAACGCCCATGAACAAGAGGTTCTATACTATTTACTAATTTTGTGGCGTTGATATTTAATACATCCATACCAATTAGACCATGATTTTTTGTACAGTCTGCAACAATAATTCGTACGATATTCATTTTTGATTCGGTTTCCAAAGTTGCCTCAAATTCGCCTAGGACTTTTATAACTGTGCCATCAAACTGTTTCAGGCGAAGGTAGCATTTTTGTAATTTCAGTTTAGACATTAGTTCCCCAAAATTTTTTGGAATAATTGTGACTTGACTTCCGGTGTCAACTTGCATTTTTATATTGTAGTCATTAATTTTTACACTAATCTCTGAGTTTGTATCATTCATGTTAATGGAATACACACTAGCATCATCGTTCTCTATTTCCTCTACTATTTTTTCATATTTAGTGTTTGCTTTGCATACGTTTTTAAAGTGGTTCAGCTTTCCACATTTTTTACAACTCTTCCCAAATGCTAGGCATTTCCTAGGTGGGTGTTGAAGGCCACAATACTTGCATTTAATCATTCTTTCTTTATTTTTATCAATGTAATTAACTGAAGGAAGGTCTATGCTGTTTTCGATGTTGTTTTGTATACTAAAACAGGATATTTGCTCCAGTTGCCTAATAAAGTCAATACATGCTCCTAGTTTAGGCGATTCTCCACTCTGTATCATTTCTAGAGCTTTAACTCTCTGATCAGAAGATTGGAGACCATCAATCAATCTCATTTGAATCAAATCATCTTCCGCACTTTGGCCATCTCTTCCCAATTTTTCGAAGTTGCAAAAGCGTGAAGCTTCGCGTAATCTTTGTGCATATGATACGATGTTTTCATTGTTTTGCTGTTTTAATGCTAAAAATCAAACTCTTTCAGCAATAATTAGTCGTTTTTGAGGTCTCAAATGGGACATAACAACAGTTTTAATATCATCAAACATCATATTTTCTAATTCTTCTGGATATACCATAAGAGAAATCTTTTTAACTGCTTCAATCCCTGCTTTTGCCATAAATAAATCTGTTATCTCGTAGCTACCCTTTATCTCATCTTTTAATTTCTTTGAACGTGCGGAAGCTGAAAAGCATCTAATCCATGCTTCTGCATTATCTGGGTCATCTAAAGTCAAATCGTCCCTTACTCGTAGCGCCATTGTTGTGTCGTTAATAAAACACTGTACTACACTTAAATATATATATTCTTATAAGTAAGCCATCTTTAATATACATTTTTTATAGCCACGTATGTTTATATATATCAAAACATTGTTCCTATTTGTCCGCATATGACAAAGGTTCACGGCTTCACATAAAATATAAAAGAGTAGCTTTAAGTTTAAGTATAACGAGTTTGTAAGAATGGCTGAAGCAAAAATAATTTGAGTTAGTAAACCAATTTCTAAGAACTTAAAAACTTTTTTTTCTTGGGGGAAAGAATCAGTTATCGGGTACATTAAGGAAAATGGATTAGTGGTTAAAATTACTTGAATTAACTTTTATGATTATTAATAATTTCATTGAAAACGCAGTTATTATTGAAAGTATTTTTGTTTACAAAATCAATCACACAAATTGCTTTAAAAGATTACATTTGAATAAAATACACATACATAAAATTACATACATAAAAAATACATACATAAAAATACATTACATAAATAAAAATACATTAGATACATAAAAATACATTACATGCATAAAAAATACATCCCTTACATATAAAAAATAAGAATATACTAATAAAATATATAATATATTTACAAAATGTTGACAAGTTAAAAAATATAAATTTAAAACATTTATTTTTGTAAACAAATAATGTTGGTTTAAAACATTTATAGCTTTGTAGATGTAGCTCCGAGAATGAGCCATAGTATTAAAATAATAGTTCGTTTGATAGTATATTCTTAAAACAATTTATGCTAGAAATCTCAACGAAAACATAATACTTAAATAATACAATTTTTTAAAATATTTTAACAGAATACTCTAAAATATTCAGTTAGTATTTTTTAAATACTCTAGAAATTGCGGTTAGTATTTTTTGAACCAATAGAATTAACTGTTCGTAGATTTAGCGGGTTATTTGTGTTTGCAAATATTCTTTTTTTATTTTTTCGCATAAAGATGTTTGAGAACATTTGAGTTTTTGTATTTTTTCATGTAAGTCCATAAAACAAAATATACTAAAATTTACGATAAAATAATGAACTTAATTATCATTTTGCAGACAAACAAGGAAACATACATAAACTTAAATGTTCTCAAAACGACTAAAAAATCTGGCCGGTTTTTTGCAACTTAATATTATTTCCGTGGTCAGTTATCGAGTGCCCTCTCTCAACTCTATAACTCTGAAACACCAACCTTGAAGAACAAGGCCGCTGCGCAGAGAAACGAGCTGAGCGCGGTACTACCAGGGACGTGGTGGGGATCGAACTCGGAACCACTCGTTTATGAAGCAAGTGCTCTACCACTACACCACTACCGCATAATGATTTTAATGATTGGAAATGCAGTGGAAACGACTTTTTTTAATTGATTTTTACCTTTTTTAATTAAACATTTTAGTCATTAACAAAAAACCAAAAGTATTAAAAAAAAGTATTTAATTTCAAACAAAAAAATATTCTCTTTTTTTGAAAAAATGAGCAGAAAAGCTATTACCTATGAAGATTGTGTAAAAGTAATGCATTATAACCAGGAAGGTAAAATCACTCATGAAATTGGAAAAATAATAAAACGATCACATAGTTCGGTGCTAACAATCATTAAAAGATTCAGAGAGATGAAATCTTACATTGATCGCCATTGTTCTGGAAAACCGCATTTAACGACACCCAATGATGATTGCCTTTTAATCAGGTTGGCAAAGAAAAATCGAACTATGTCGTTGCACAAATTAAGAAGGGAATAGAAGCTTTCAAATGGATGTCAAGCATTGGCATCACTTGTGCGTAGGAAACTAATAGCTAACAATATGCTATGGAAAAAAGCTGTTCTAAAACCGAGACTTAACGAACAACATTTAAAAAAGCGAAAAGAATTTTGCCAAAGTGTCAAAGAATGGTCTAAAGAAAAATAGAGGACAGTAATGTTCAGTGATGAGATGAATATCGAGGTTGATAACCGAAAAAACCAAATTATGATTTGCAGGCAGCCTTCCAAAAAATATAATCTTGATTGTATCAAGGTAGCAGGTCGGTTGGAATATGGTGCTGCATGACACCATAAATAATTTAAACATACCAAGACCATTATGGTCTTGGTATGTTTAAATTATTTGATTGTCGACTCAACTCTATTTATTATGTCGATATTTTAAATAACAACTTGTTACCATCAATTGATGCAAAGCGTTTCGTTCATTTTTCAGCAAGACAATGCACCATGCCACAGTGCTAAAATTGTCTCTGAATGGTTCAATAGCAAAAATATTGAGCGCCTAACTTGGCCACCAAATAGTCCAGATCTAAATTGCATTGAAAATCTTTGGAGTTGGCTTGATAAACAGATTGCCAAGAAAGCACCAAGGAGCCTTGAGGAGTTGCGCAATATTTTACCAACAATACTTAGAAATATTCCCAAACATATTTTAGAGAATTATTATTTTTTATTTTGTTTGTCTATTTCCTAAAAATTATTATTATTATTTTTTTACCAGAAAATTATATTCGACTAAATAGAAATTTAAAAATAAAAATAAATTATGATTTGTTTTTTTGGTGGTTTTTAACTTTTTCACAATACTGTATATGTAACTTTTTCACAATACTGTATATGTAAAACTTATATATATAAACTTTTGTACTCTCTTTATTAGTTGTTGTTTTTAGCTTGTGAATTTTATACAAGTTGATAAAAAAAAACATTATTATTTATAACAACTTAACAACAATTGAAAGTTATGATATACAATTAATTCAGAACTTTTATCAGTCCGCATAATTAAGAAACTAATTTGCTATGTAGGCTAGAACTATGAGAAACTTAGTTAGTCTTTTTTCTTGCTTTTATTCATTTTGAAGTCTTTTCGCTTTGAAAAATGCTTTTGCTATATTTAACACTTTTTATCAATACTTATATAATAAGATAATAAGATAATAAATTGCTATTTATTTGTAAAATATATTATTTGATTAATAAATTTTGTAATGACGGAATAAATTAAATAGACAATTTGATTGTTTTTTTTTATAAATGCATTTACCACATTCAATGCTTGTATTAAATTATTTCTTTTATAATGCCTAATTTCTAATGTTAACACAATTTATTAGAGATAATGAACAAATATAAATAAATAAAATCATAAAAAACCGCAATCTTTTTTAAAAGGCTTGGTTGTTGCAAAAAAAAAAAAAATTGAAAAAGAACGCATATTTAAATGCAAAATGTTTTTAATTAGATTGAAATAATTTGATAAATATAAAATTATTACACTTAAAATTTTATTGATAAAATATAAAATTCTTTAACAGATAAGAAATAAAAATATTATACTCTAAACTATTGAAATATAATTTTTATAAAACTAAAAATTTTTTTGTTTTCATATGAAATTTATAACAACTGCTTTTGTAATTTTTGAAAGCCTTTCTTATTATTTTTCTAAAGCATTTATATGTATAAAGCTATCAGCTTCACTTAAAAATTCAAATTCTAAATGAGTAAAAATATTATTTAGATAAATTTAGATCTTATAATCCTAATGTAAACAACTATTTATTTAACATCTATCGGACATTGGATATTGAGCAGCATTAAATCTTGATAAACTTGAGCCCTAATAAAAATATATATATATATTTACCCATGAAAAGCAACTCTAAGTGGAATTTCTGTATCCATAATAACATGAATTTATAACTGAAAAATAAATTTCATATATATATATATATATATATATATATATATATATATATATATATATATATATATATATATATATATATATATATATATATATATATATATATATATATATATATATATATATATATACATATATATATATACATATATATATATATATATATATATATATACATATATATATATATAAATATATATATATATATATATATATATACATATATATATATATATATATATATATATATATATATATATATATATATATATATATATATATATATATATATATATATATATATATTCAAACTATTTTTATAAAATTACTAAATTTCCAAATTCAAACTATTTTTATAAAATTACTAAACTTCCAAACAATCAATTTGATACGTTAGCTGAAAAAACAGGCCAGATGCAAATTACTGGATTGATATTAGACATTACACTAGCCAATTTTTATGGAATTCCATTCTTATTTGATGTCATCAACTAAATAATTATCAATCACATGATATTTAACCCTTTAGAATTTTTACTGATTGAAATGTTTTGTGAAACTACGTGGTCTCAATCAGTAAAAATTCTAAAGGCTATAAATATAATGTGATTGATAATTATTTAGTTAATGACATCAAATAAGAATGGAATTCCATAAAAGTTGGCTAGTGTAATGTCTAATATCTATCTCAAAAAAGATGCTAGTGATATTTCAAAATTCCAGAAAATAAAGTTAAAAAAAGGTTATGATACAAATAAATTTAAACATGCTGAAATGGTAAATGATTATAAAACCATAATAAAAATGTAAAAAACAGAGTAGATAACAGCTTTTAAATTAAATTATCCAAAAATTCAAAGAACTTATAAATTAAATCATCAAAAATTTCAAGAACCTGACAGTGTTTATACATGTTTAAATAATAAAACAGTTATAAAAAAATTAATTTTTTGAAAACTGCTGATAGCTTAACTATAGCAATTAAAATGTTCAAGTTAATGTCAAAATAATTTTAAGTTCCCAAATTATATAAAGAAATCCTTAAAAAACATTTGAAAAATTTTCACAAATTTTTAAATTTTAAATGTTATTTATTTTAAAACTACAAACTTGAAGGTAAAACTTTTTTATATATAATTTGTTTGTTTTTTATCTTTGTAACCGGATCGGCTTTTTACCAGTTTATTTCTGCAAGTTTAACCGAAAATCCTAACCATGTACCGGGTTATTTTTTTCTATGCCGAGTTAATTTTCTTCTTATGCCGAGTTAATAAAATTTTTGTTAACCTGGCCGTAAAAAAATAATTTTTTTATGCTATTTAGGCCGGGTTTTTTTTATTATAAAAAAAAGCAATTTATTTTTTAAGGTGCTCTTAAGAAGACCTTACGGCCTTATAACAGAGCACCGCGGAAGAGCATTTAGTAGGAAGTTCACGCCTCCCTACCAAACGATTGCTGAGAGGGTGGGGTTTGACCACGGATCTTACGTTTCTGAAGCAAGTGCGATACCACTGCTCCACGGCTGCTTTTGAATTGCTTTTACTCAGCGTTATCGGAGTAGTTTTGGTTGGAGTAGCAGCCGTGGCGCGGTGGTTAGAGTTCTGGCTCAGAATCCACAGGTCCGAGATTCGACGCCAGCTCTAATCCTATAAACGACATTAAAGACTATGGAGGGAGGTGTGAACTTTCTTGTTAAAAGTTTTTCCGCAGTGCTTTGTGATAAGAGCGTAAGGACTTCTAGGAGCACTTTAATAACTACAAAAAAAAAAAAAAAAAAATTGAAAATATTATTTATACCGGAACAGTACATAAGTCCGTCCCCATTAATTAAACGATTGAATAGGACGTGTGAACAATTGTTTTTACTTAGTATTTGATCAACTTTACGTGAATAAAAATTTGAGCAAATCCTCTCAAATTTTTATTCCAGGTCGACCACTAGATTCTGGCTCAGAATCTAGAGGTCAAATCTCGGACCTCTGGATTCTGAGCCAGAACTCTAACCACTGCGCCACGGCTGCTAAGACTGCATAAAGCTGATTAGACTGCGTAGAGGGATACAGGGTGTTAAAAATTAAAAATTTATACATAATTTTTTTGTTTTTTTTCAATGGTAAATTCAAAAGCTAAAATATTTAACAAGAATTTTGAGGTTCGATGCCGGCTCCGGCCGGATAAGTGTCATGATAAGTAAGGATGCATGAACTTCTTTATTAAATGCTCTTTTGCTGTATTCTGTGATAAAGCAGTTCAGTCTTCTTGGAAGCAGCTTGATAACTACGGAAGAAAAAAAAAATTTAAATATCAAAAAGTTTTGGAAATATCAATTATGAACTTTCTGGTTAAATTGCAACTGGATAGTTCAGTTGGTTAGAGCGTCAAGCAAAATGTTAAAACCAAGACTGTTGTGCGATATAAGTATTATTCGCTAAACTCACCGCTCAACTCATTGCATGAGTCAAACTACGTACACAAAGATGTTGGTCAAAAACAGACGTTACTTTTGACTAGTCTTTATAACTATTTGTAGCTGTTCCTATTGTCGTACTGTCTTATTAAGTGTAATTATAAAACGGCGTCATAAATTGGTATCTCAATAGTCTGATTTAAAATTGACTCCACACAATTTTTAAGTTTTAAATCTTTGATTTATGCAATTTTTTTTTAAATCTTTGATTAATGAAAGATGTCAATTAAGTCTAACTATTTCCTCTTGAATATGAAAATATTAAACTTTTTAAAAATGTTCTTTATTAAACATAAACATTTATGAAAGTTAAATTAATTAATGTGAGAAAAACAATTAATGTACGTTAAATTAATTAATGTACAAATCAATGTGTTTGTAACCATTATTCATGTACTACGCATGCCATCGTGTACACCCTATATATACACCATTATAAACACCTTTGTGCATGATAATCTTTTACTTTTTACTTAGTTTTTTATTAATAACTTAAGTTATTATTTTATTATTAATTTGTGATTGTTAATGTTATCTTCAAATATATTCAAAAACTTATTAAGTCAATTTAGACATTTTAAGTTGAATGTTATAGTAATACAAAAATATTTGAAAAAATTTGTTAGACTATGTCAGCCTGACGAGGAAACAAAATAAAAATTGTGTCTTCTTAGAAAATTTTGCTGATTTTTTAAGGAAACACCCTTGCGCAGGGTGTTTATAATAGTGTATATACAGGGCATACACATCTAGTCTCCAACACGTGTTTTTTTATCAACTCTTGTTTGTAACGTGTTGAGTTCAGTCGCCTGCTTCCCAGCTTAACGTGTTTAGGATGTGACGTCGGGTACGTAAAAATCACGTAATTAGTTTCGTTTCTAGTCCGTATTTTATTTCATTCGCAACATGTGTTCGAAACGAGATCCATTAGCTCAAATAACCATATATGCAAAGACGCATTTATTTTAATTTTTAAGGTATTATTTATTATTAATGTATAAATCATTTATCAAATGTTTATTTTTAACAAATAACAATTTAAAAAAATTTAATATCTTAATATTCAAAAAAGTAAATTTAACTTATATCTTTACATTAAAAAAAATGGTTACACTAATTAAAGATTTGAATCTTTAAACAAGCTTTGTGGTTTATAACAGCCTCTTTTCAAAACATCCTATAGTGACTCATATATCACAACATTATTAATAATATGTTTTTAAATATATGATTTTAGTAAATTTGAATAAAATAACTTACTGACATACCCAACATACTGTTGATTAACATGAGATCTAATGTCGCATAAAACTTCAAATCATTAAATTTTGTCATCTGGAATAATATTCCTATGTTGTAGTTGGTCTCTGAAACTCGATTTCAAGACATTATATTTATATTCTAGCCAAAATGGGTCATCACAATATTCAAAAAACCTTTACTACCATTGAATCTCATCTGAATCCAATGCAACTGAATGGGTTTAGGTCTCTATGATTGCATACTTCTTCTATTAGTTTTTATAGTTCAGGAGCATACACTACATCATTTGCCATCAGTTCAAAAGCTATCTTTTTTACAACCTAAAAAATTAAATAGTTTAAAACTTATTTTAAATTGTTTTTTGAAAGGATATGTTATAAGTTAATGAATTTTTCGAATACATAATCCAATTTTTGGAATACGTAACATCTACCTTATAACTTTTTTGGAATACGTAACATCTACCTTAACTTTTTTGGAATACGTAACATCTACCTTAACTTTTTTGGAATACGTAACATCTACCTTAACTTTTTTGGAATACGTAACATCTACCTTATAACTTTTTTGGAATACGTAACATCTACCTTAACTTTTTTGGAATACGTAACATCTACCTTATAACTTTTTTGGAATACGTAACATCTACCTTAACTTTTTTGGAATACGTAACATCTACCTTAACTTTTTTGGAATACGTAACATCTACCTTAACTTTTTTGGAATACGTAACATCTACCTTAACTTTTTTGGAATACGTAACATCTACCTTATAACTTTGCTGAAATTAATTAGTCTGATTGTGATTTATATCTCTTAAGACAGAAAGATTTGCCTTTTATGATCTTTAATGAGTTACTCTCAATACGCTCTAATCTAACTTTTTGCGAAGTCTTTGAATCTTTTGACTGTATGAGCTACTGGAGGTTAAAATTTAACCTCCAGTAGCTCATACAGTCAAAAGGAGGTCAAATTTTATTTTTTTTTTCATGCCGTCTTAAACACATCCCTAACCTCTGATGACACTGAAAGCAAAATGATTTATCAAAGTCTACAGAATTTTTTGTTTAGTTAAAATTTATTAATAAATTTTGATAGGCTAAGTTTCGTATGTCTTCTTATATCATGTTCAAGCCTGCAAATTGGATACTCATATAAAAATCTATCTACAACCTTAATTTTATATAAACAAGTTTTCTTTTTTTCCACAATTTTTCCACGGGTGATACTAGTACTAATGCTCAAATTTTTCTATAAAATGTTTAAAATTCCAAACAAAAATTATTGATTCAATTCTAATTTAATAATAACTAATTGATTTTATATTAAACATAAAGATGCATTTTGAAGTTATATACTATATTAAAACAACAATACTCTAATTATGTCATTTTTAAATTTAAACTTTTAACACAAAAACTACAAATGCCAGATGGACAATAGTTTGTTTCCATTTTCAAATCATGATCTAATTTATCTTATATTGTAAAATATAAGATCAATTATTGATCATGATTTGAAATCATGATCAATTAGATCATGATTTGAAATTAATCTTATATAGTAAAATAAATTGACCAATAACTTTGCTGTCAAGAATAAGTTCATTCTAAATGGATGCATTGTAAATAAGTGCATTGTAAATGGATGCAACCATTGATGAAGCTAAAACAAACAAAATCATAATTTCAAGATGAAAATGTTAAAATAAAAAGCTCACTAAAAAAAACTAAATATAAACATGCCAGGTTCGAAACGAGCTCTAGACATGACTTTGTGTCACGGTAAGGAAGGAAGCATGAACTATAGGTAGTCAACTAGGAATGCACTCCCGCGGTGTGCACACCGCGGGAGTGCATTCAATGTTGAATGCACTCCCGCGGTGCCTTGTGACAAGATTGTTAGGTCTTCCTGGGCACTTAAATAGTAACAAAAAAAAAAATTTAACATAAAGATGTATCCATCATTGTATCAAATGCATCTTTAAATTATAAATTATTTGCTGATGCTTTAAGTGTAATCTAGCCCTTACAAAATCAATTTTAACTATACTCTTTTGTTTTCTATTAATTTTCTTATATTTGAATAAAATTGTACTTGTAAAAATATTTCGAAGTTTTAACTAATTTTAAAATACATATTCAAATGGTTTATGCAAAAATTGAGTAAAAAATTGATAATTTGATAATGAACTCGAACAACAAGATTTTTAAAGTGTAAATCTTCTAATACATCTCAGCTAGCAAAAATACGTTGGAAAAACGTTAGAACAATGTTGCAAACTGCGTAGGCACAACTATATGGGGAAAAAAAAAAAAAATTACTATAGGCATGACTGATATAAGATAGTACTGATGACAGGAAGAACACTCCTTCCAGCCTTTGCTTAGATAGCAAATCCTGCAAGGCAGCAGAACATGGAACAGGTTGCACTGGGTTACATGTTACCAGTAGCAGAATGATCATGAAGACCATACTCCTGACCTGACACCAAAATAGTAGAAAAACCAAAATGACATAAAAACAACGTTTGCCAACGTTGTTTTTATGTCATTTTGGTTTATAGTTGGAGGTGCCTTAGTTACTGTATTAGCTCACCTGTAATCTACGTTATATGTATGTATGTGTTCTGTCTGAACCTCTGGCGCGGTGTTCGCTCACCCGTAAGTTACTTTATGTTCTTTATGTATGTCTGTGTTCTGTCTGAACCTCTGGCGCGGTGTTCGCTCACCCGTAAGTTACTTTATGTTCTTTATGTATGTCTGTGTTCTGTCTGAACCTCTGGCGCGGTGTTCGCTCACCCGTAAGTTACTTTATGTTTATGTTTATGTTTTTGATGTTTTTTTATGTATGTTTGTGTTCTGTCTGAACCTCTGGCGCGGTGTTCGCTCACCCGTAAGTTACTTTATGTTTTTTATGTATGTTTGTGTTCTGTCTGAACCTCTGGCGCGGTGTTGACTCACCCGTAAGTTGATTTATGTTTGTTTGTGTTCTGTTTATACTCTAATGCAGCGTGAGCTCAGTAACTAACTACTTACTCCAACTACAAAACGTACACTCACCTTAGACTCCTGTATTTTGTTAGATGCAGTGTTTTTCCTTATGCACTTCCAAAATGTCATGCCTGGTTTTCTCAAAGTACTGTTGCGGGAAGTAGCTCCTTTTAACTACTCCAGGTCAGGTCAGGATAATCGAGATCAATCTTGCTACTGGTATTACGTAACCCAGTAGCACCTGCCACAAGCCCTGCTGCCTTGCAGAGTGTGCTCTTCTTATGCAAAGGCTAGGTGAAATAAACTCCGACTAAAAATTCCCCTGCCTTGGGGCTCTTGGTTGAGTAAAGGCTAGAAATGGTGTCTCGATAAAAACACTCATCTTGGGCAGATGTTAACTGCATCCAGCTAAACATCCCCTGCCTTGGGGCTCTTGGTTGAGTAAAGGCTAGAGATGGTGTCTCGATAAAAATACTCATCTTGGGCAGATGTTAACTGCATCCTGCTACTGTCTTGTAGAAGGCCTCCTAGGCAAAGACTTTAGGGGTAAGCAGAAAAATTCTGCTAACTAGCCTCGAACCCCTTCTTCATCTATTAGGCTGGCGTAGATGTAACCTGTGTTACATTGTTTCCTGCTTAGGATGATGAATGCTGGATCTCCTTGACTCTACTCATAGAATTTTGCTTATGCCTCTATGATAATGGCTATGCAACTCTTCCTGTTATCTCCATATGAGGGTACAGCTCTAAAACTCAGTTTAATGGTTCTGAGGCCGGCTGGTAGTAAGGTTTCCCGAACTCTATGGTAGCTCTCAGAGAGGCTGATTCCATCAACAGCTGCAAAATATCAGAGTATTAACAGTGCCATGTTGCGCATGGATGGTGTCCCTGTTAATGCTTTTGGTGTGCATTGTCAAGGCCACATAAGGAGCCCTATGTCACGGCTTAGGGTTAATTAACAGGACTGAGACAACTGCATAGCTCATTGATTAGGAGGCTGTGCTCTATCTATGAATGAGTCAAGTTCTCATTAAACCCAAATCATGACCAAAGTAACCAAAAATTTAAAACCTAAAAAACCATCCCCACCACCTAAATATTTTAATATATCTTTTACAAATATTCGCGGTCTACGAAGCAACTTTCCATCAGTTGAGTCTTACCTCCTGCAAAATTCACCAGACTTGCTTGCACTCAGTGAAACAAATTTAAGTTCTGCAATTCCTTCTTCAGATGTCAGTGTTGATGGGTACTATCCTTTGATTCGTAAAGACTCCAATAGTCACATGCTAGGTTTAAGGGTATACATACGCATTAACTTCCCTATTTGTCGTGAATTCAGGTTCGAATCCTTTTACCATTCTTTTATGTGCTTTCGCCTAGCACCTCTTCACTCTATCACCTTTCTCTTTGTTCTTTATCGTTCTCCTTCTTCCCATGATTGCACTCTTTTAGATGTTATCTCTGATCAAATTGACCATGCCCTCTCTCTTTACCCCTCTGCCAATATTGTTGTTGTTGGTGATTTTAATGCCCATCACACTGAATGGCTTGGCTCTAACATCACTGATCCTGCTGGCACTAAAGCCTTTAACTTCTGCGTTTCTCAATCTCTTACTCAGATAGTTAACTTTGTGACTCGTTTTCCTGACAACCCTAATCATTTACCTTCACTCCTTGACTTATGTCTTGTCTCTGACCCTAGCTTATGTTCAGTTTCTCCCTTTTCTCCCTTAGGTGGTTCTGACCATGCAATGATCTCTATAAATCTTTCTGCTCGTACTTCTTTTTTGGGCTCACCTTATCATCGCACCACCTACTACTACCCTAAAGCTGACTGGGATTCCTTTCGTGATTTTCTTCGTGATGGTCCTTGGGCTGATGTTTTTTCTCTCTCAGCTGACAAATGTGCCTCCTACATAACCTCCTGGATTCAGGCTGGAATGGAAGCTTTTATTCCTTCTCGTCGGTTTCAAGTCAAGCCTCATTCTACTCCATGGTTTTCTCCTTCTTGTGCGGCTGCTATATCCAATCGTAACCATTTTTTTCATCTTTTTCAAAAGAACAACTCTCTTGAGAACAAACGGCTATTTATTATTGCAAGAAATTGATGTAAAAAGGTGCTTTCTGATGCTAAACTCCATTATTCTCAGTTCACTAAATCTCGCATCTTATCGCAGAAGTTAGGCTCTAAAGACTTTTGGAAAATCTTCAACAGCATTGTTAACAAGAGTAGATCTAACATTCCATCTCTCATTCATGGGACTGATCTTGTTACCTCTCTCAGGGATAAGGCAGAACTGTTTGCAAAGAACGTTTCTTCTAATTCCACTCTTGAATCTTATGGACATTCTCTTCCTTCCATTCCAGTCAAACAGGTTGACCCATTGTTAGACATTCAAATCACTCCGGCTTCTGTTGCTAAAGTCATATCTCAATTAAACTTGTCTACAGCTTCTGGTCCAGACAACATTCCTGTCACAGTCTTGCAGAATTGTTCTCCAGAACTTTCTTCAATTCTCTCTAAACTTTTTAACAAGTGTTTGACTGAGTCTTGTTTTCCTGCTTGTTGGAAAATGGCATCTGTGGTTCCAATATTCAAAAACTCTGGAGAAAATTCTGACCCCTCCAATTATCGTCCGATCAGTCTTCTTTCTGTTATTAGCAAGGTCTTTGAGTCTTTAATCAACAAATTCCTCACATCTCATCTTGAGTCAAATAAACTGCTGTCAGACAATCAATACGGCTTTCGATTCTCTCGCTCTACGGCCGACTTGCTAACT